TCCCTCTGCAGTCAATTAGGGCCCCAGAAAGCACGAATCCAGAGGATTTCTGCAGTATTACTTCGATTTCTTTATAATTGTTGTACGAAAACAACAGGTGGAGTATGCCATTTGGTACAATACTCAATATAATTCGACAAAGCTGTCAATATAAAAACGAACGTCGGCAGTGTAGGTATTTAGAAAAGTCTTCTTTATCGACGTTGATCAAGTTCCTCGACGTGTTTCACTTAACTTTAAGTATACAGCATTAAATATGCAGCATAGGGTTATGCATGGAATACTTCTTGAGGCAATTGTACTTTGTTGATCAGAATAAAAATGGCGTTGAGCTCTCATATTTCGATCGATATACAATTATCGAAGGCTCTGATATGAGAAACGAAAGGGTCAGGACAATTTTACGACAATTTAGAACACTCTGGTAATCGATAAACTCGCATTTGAACGGGATAAAGGCAAAAAAAGTGTTGTATGCGCTTCTATGCTAAAACGATGGGAATACGAGGTCTCGGAGTGAAAATTTAATTGACCTGGAAATCACAGATGGCGCAGGGGGTCCCTCTGCAGTCAATTAGGGCCTCAGAAAGCACGAATCCAGAGGATTTCTGGAGTTTTACTTCGATTTCTTTATAATTATTGTACGAAAACAACAGGTGGAGTATGTCATTTGGTACAATACCCAATATAATTCGACACAGCTGTCAATATAAAAACGAACGTCGGCAACGTAGGCATTTAGAAAAATCTTCTTTACCGACGTCGATCAAGTTCGTTACCGTCTTTCACTTCACCTTAAAAATGAGACATTAGAAAGATCTCTATTGGCTTCGATAAGTCGGTTATCTAGCCTAATATTATAAATGTTAAATAAGATGCATTATTACTAATAGTATCATAAGTATTTTAGGGAAAATGAAAACGAGACATGTAAAAAATAATTTGCGACGTATATTTTGTACCGATAAGATGACAAAGCCAGAGATTATGCAAATGTATACATCTCAATCTCACGAGTGTAAATGTACGACTAGAAAATGAAAGAAAGAAAATTTATTTACCCATTGCTGCAATGAAATAGTTTAGACGAAAGTCAGCGTAAAAGTGTTAAACGTTTTATACATAATGTATGTCGGTAAAAAGTTTAGAAGACATCGCAATGCCCGCCTTGAAGACGAAACAATACAGTTCTTTTGGTTCGTCCTCCTGTTTCCTACCTGCTACTTATTGTGTGGTATTTCAGTTTATTTCTCGTGATTCTTTTAGAAGAGACGAAAATCACCGCAAAAGTGTCAAACGTTTTATACATAATGAATGTCAGTAAAAAGTTTAGAAGATATCGCAATGTCCACCTTGAGGACGAAACAATACAGTTCTTTAGGTTCATCCTGCTGTTTATTACCTACTTCTTATTGTGTGGTATTTGAGTTTATTTCTCGTGACTCTATTAGGAGATACAAAAATCACCGCAAAATTGTCGAACGTTTTATACATAATGAATGTCAGTAGAAACTTTGTAAGAGATATATATGTTTTCAGATTTTGGCCGGGTACAAAGGAACATGGTCGAGTCATTAACGCAGATTACTGTCAACAATTCTAAATTAAAAACAACAACATTCTAGTCTTTCACCCATAACGGGAATATACCGTGTTTCTTGTCATCTTCCACGTAAAATAGATAACATTACTTATCTCGACTATTCGGATCTTACAAAAATCTTCACAATACAAAATAGTTTTCTGTTTTTTAAGTATCACTCTGACACATTGCAACGTTTCCAAGTTATGGCCGAAATGTATTGTACGGATTAGGATACATGGTCCTATCTGTCATGATAGTCATGAAGCTTATCAGGATTACAGCATCCCCTCATGGAGACGACAGTACTTCAGGTATCTTTCCTGGACCTACTTCTAAACTAGTCGAATCAATAGGATTGACGACACGTCGGAAGCTTCGGAAGACTATAAAAGTCTGTCACACTTCCAACACGTGGATTGCGCTGAACGTGTCAAGACAGTGCTTTAGGTATCTTTCTTGGACCTACTCCTAAACTAGTCGCATCGATAGGACTGACGACACGTCGGAAGCTTCTGACGATTGCAAAAGTCTCTCATACTTCCAACGCGTGGATTGTGCTGAACATTACTTTAGGTATCTTTCTTGGCAAGACATTACTTTAGGTATCTTTCTTGGACCTACTCCTAAACTAGTCGAATCGATAGGATTGACGACACGTCGGAAGTTTGGGAGGACTGCAAAAGTCTGTCATACTTCCAGCACGTGGATTGTGCTGGCAAGACAGTACTTTAGGTGTCTTTCTTGGACCTACTTCTAATCTAGTCCAATCGATAGGATTGGCGACACGTCGGAAGCTCCGGAGGACTGCAGAAGTCTGTCATACTTCCAACACGTGGATTGTGCTGAACGTGGCAAGACAGTACTTTAGGTATCTGTCTTGGACCTACTTCTAAACTAGTCGAATAGGATTGACGACACGTCGGAAGCTCCGGAGGACTGCAAAAGTCTGTCATACTTCCAACACGTGGGTTGTGCTGAACGTGGCAAGACATTACTTTCGGTATCTTTCTTGGACCTACTCCTAAACTAGTCGAATCGATAGGATTGACGACGCGTCGGAAGCTTCGAAGCACTGCAAAAGTCTGTCATACTTCCAACACGTGGACTGTGCTGAACGTGGCAAGACAGTACTTTAGGTGTCTTTCTTGGACCTACTTCTAATCTAGTCGCATCGATAGGATTGACGACACGTCGGAAGCTTAGGACTGCAAGAGTCTATCATACTTCCAGCATGTGGATTGTGCTGAACATTACTTTAGGTATCTTTCTTGGACCTACTCCTAAAGTAGTCGAATCGATAGGATTGACGACACGTCGGAAGCTTCGGAGGACTGCAAAAGTCTGTCATACTTCCAACACGTGGATTGTGTTGAACGTGGCAAGACAGTGCTTTATCGAGGACTGCAAAACTCTGTCATACTTCCAACACGTGGACTGTGCAGAACGTGGCAAGACAGTGCTTTAGGTATCTGTCTTGGACCTACTTCTAAGCTAGTCCAATCGATAGGATTGACGACACGTCGGAAGCTTCGGAGGACTGCAAAAGTCTGTCATACTTCCAACACGTGGGTTGTGCTGAACGTGGCAAGACAGTACTTCAGCTATCTTTCCTGGACCTACTTCTAAGCTAGTCGAATCGATAGGATTGACGACACGTCGGAAGCTTCGGAGGACTGCAAAAGTCTGTCATACTTCCAACACGTGGACTGTGCTGAACGTGGCAAGATCGGGTAGCCATAGCGATGGTGAGGGATAAGTCTGCGACAGAACCTCTCTTTTCTTCTTTCTGGCTCATGACCCTTACTTGCCATCATCTAGCTCTCCGAAGAAAGCCTACGGGAACCTAAGGTTATTAATTCGGGTTATTTGCTGAACTCTCGTACTATCGACGTTAGGCTCTCGTAGGTTCCCGTGGCGAATCCTAGGAGGCCGATCAGCAGTATAAGTATGTCTTTCAGAATGGTGAAGACGCCTAATGTGGCGTTCTGCCAGCAGACCACCATCTCTATGATTGGCGGGAACATCAACGCCAATGCTGTGCTGCTCACAGCTCCCACCAAAGATATGAAGAGGCCCAATTGAGGAATCGCTTCCGCCAGGACAACTGCAATCAAACGATATCATGTTTTCAATTCAATTCGATAAAATTGAGGAAATTTGTTAAGGAAAAATCTAAGGGACCCGTGTTTTTTTTTTATCGGCGGATAAACACTTTTAGGGGGTGAAATCAGGCTTCAAGGTTGGCCGTGAAAGGGGGAGAGTTGCTGTTTCATATGTGCCCATAATTATGAAAGTGGTCTAAGTCAAAATTTAAAAAAAAAAAATGAGTTTATCAGTTATTTCACGCCATATTATTTCAAACGAAATTAATTCAGTGTAATTTCGAAACAAAAAATATATGACTTAGACCATTTTCATAATTATGGGCACATGTAGAAGCACTCGACCGATTTTCATGAAACAACCGTCAAAATGTAGGGAATGAAGAGTTATGAAACATGTATTTGGAATTTTTCGAGAAAATTCATTTTTAAGGGTGTCACCCCTTTGAATACTTCTTTTACCCCTTTCCCCCTTAATACTTCATTCTCTCATCTTTAAGAGCTACAGTTGCGATGTAAAATACAAACACGGTTATGTTCAGTTTTTACATTAATACAATCTAAATATAAAACAATGTAATCCGTCTACACGATTTGTCCAGACATGTGATTCACTTTCTATTGTAGTTCTTTCCATTCTACTCCTGATTGACGCTGACGTGAATTCACGTCTTTTCAAGTTCCATTCCTGGTTGTCGCTGACGTGAATTCACGTCATTTTAAATTCTATTCCTGATTGCCGCTAACGTGAATACACGTCTTTTCAAGTTCCAATTCTGATTGCCGCTGACGTGAATTCACGTCTTTTCAAGTTCTATTCCTGATTGCCGCTGATGTGAATTTATATGTGACGTGAATATAAAATGACGTGAATTTACGTCTAGACGTAATTTACGAAGTGAATTTACGTAAAGACGTGACGTGAATTCACGTCTTTTCAAATTCTATTCCTAGTTGCCGCTGACGTAAATTCACGTAATTTTAAATTCTATTCCTGATTGCCGCTGACGTGAATCACGTCCTTTAATGACACAAGTTCGCAGCAACCAATTTCAGAATTTCATTACCGGTACCCAGTATTTCAAACAGAAAAAATTTGCCGGTCGCGAATGTGTTAATTAATCCCCCCGAGCTGCGATAAGAATAATTTGTTCATGGAACAATACTTACACGTAACGAAGCAAGTGAACGAGCGGAAACAAATTTCCGCGACAACGGGCCAACGAAAAGGGCCGTATCGGTTTACAATTGCAGGCCACATGATCGCAATTGGTACGTAGAATTGCAACGAGTACGTCAGCAGTATACTCAGACAAATCGAAATCTGTATGAACTGCGGCAACCTGAAAAAACAATTGTAATTGCATTACGGATACACTTTGGTTAATATACTAAGATCGATGATAATTTGCAGAGTGAATTATTACGGTGATATGAAATAGTTAGCCTATATATATATACATGCATGCACACACATACACACATTTGTGTGTGCATATAAGTATAATATTTTAATTAAGAGATAATTTGCAGAGTGAATTATTACGGTGATATGAAAGAGTCAGCCTATAGATATATTCTTGCATGCATACACATACACACATTTGTGTGTGCATATATGTATAATATTTGAAACGAATCAGTACGCTCAATTAGGAGAATACTTTCATGAGCGATTTAATCTCTCAGATGGGTGTGTGTGTGTGTGGCAACTTTCACGAGCGAAATTAATTCCTATAAATTACTTAAAAAACAAGCTTCTAGACGATAATACCCCCTTAAGGTGAAGTGAAACCCCTTTCAAATCAGTCGATAAGAATACAACACTTTTTTTTAAGGATATTAGACCAAACTGTCATTCTACTCCTGATTGACGCTAACGTGAATTCACGTCTTTTCAAATTCCAATTCTGATTGCCGCTGACGTGAATTCACGTCTTTTCAAATTCTATTCCTAGTTGCCGCTGACGTAAATTCACGTCATTTTAAATTCTATTCCTGATTGCCGCTGACGTGAATCACGTCCTTTAATGACACAAGTTCGCAGCAACCAATTTCAGAATTTCATTACCGGTACCCAGTATTTCAAACAGAAAAAATTTGCCGGTCGCGAATGTGTTAATTAATCCCCCCGAGCTGCGATAAGAATAATTTGTTCATGGAACAATACTTACACGTAACGAAGCAAGTGAACGAGCGGAAACAAATTTCCGCGACAACGGGCCAACGAAAAGGGCCGTATCGGTTTACAATTGCAGGCCACATGATCGCAATTGGTACGTAGAATTGCAACGAGTACGTCAGCAGTATACTCAGACAAATCGAAATCTGTATGAACTGCGGCAACCTGAAAAAACAATTGTAATTGCATTACGGATACACTTTGGTTAATATACTAAGATCGATGATAATTTGCAGAGTGAATTATTACGGTGATATGAAATAGTTAGCCTATATATATATACATGCATGCACACACATACACACATTTGTGAGTGCATATAAGTATAATATTTTAATTAGTAGATAATTTGCAGAATGAATTATTACGGTGATATGAAAGAGTCAGCCTATATATATATACATGCATGCATACACATACACACATACACACATTTGTGTGTGCATATAAGTATAATATTTTAATTAATAGATNAGAGGTTTTCTGGAGTTTTACTTCGATTTCTTTATATTTATTGTACGAAAACGACAGGTGGAGTATGCTATTTGGTACAATACCCAATATAATTCGATATAACTGTCAATATAAAAACGAATGTCGGCAACGTAGGCATTTAGAAAAATCTCCTTTATCGACGTCGATCAAGTTCCTCGACGTGTTTCACTTCACCTTAAGAATTATTAAGTAATAATTAACTCAAACGCCAGTTGTTGCTCTACCGATTCTGCAGATTTGCATCTTCGAATTGGCAGCTCTGTCTGAGGTTAGTAAACTGGTAAATTTATAAGGGTTTTGAAAAATAGGGCCTACTTCCGTAAAACGTATGTTATTTGTAGGAGGACACAAAGTCAAATCCTTAACCTAAGGTTTAATATTTTTAATGCCACACATTAGAAACAAAATGGTATCCGGAATATGGGCACCTTCCTTTACCATTAATTGCAGTTATGCTAACAAGGAAACATTCCCAAGTGTCCGCCTCCGATTTTATTGAGTTTCATATATGTTGAAGAACTCAAAAATCTAAGAGACACGTGTTTTTTTATATCTGCAATGGTCCACATTTAAGGGGTGAAACAACCCCCCAAAGTTTAGCGAAAAATCGGTTTGTATAATAATTTTCATAGATGCAACGGAGGGATTTCGACGAAACTTGGTATAAACGTATTCTGTATAAGGACGGTGAAAACACAATATTGTTCAGCAATGTTGCACCCCCTCAAGGGGGTGAACTACCCTTCAGGTGACATTTTTTTGTAATATCCATTAAACAAGCACTCCTACTTAAGTTCCACTTACGCGATGTGATTGCTCGCAAAAAATTAAGAAATACGTGTTTCTTGCTTTTTGCCAATAAACATTTACACATCGGTTGTAAACAATGAATGTAGGTGGTATACGGGTATATTCCGACTAGCTTTTTTGGGTTATATCGTGACCAATTCATTGCACATAAATCTTGTCAACATGCTAATTCCTCAAAATGTCGTTGGTTTTCATAACATGTAATTATTTACGAATATCGCTAATTCTACTTTCGTAAAAACAGTAAAAATCCAATTTTACCGTTTCACCAAGGAGATTGTATTACTAGTTGGAAACGGATGATGACTGCGTCATCGGATCTGTTGCGAAACTATTTCAGTCTCTTAAACTTTATTTTCAATTTATTTATAAATAATTGCATGCTATGAAAACCAACGACATTTTGAGGAATAAGCACGTTCACAAGATTTATGTACAATGAATTGGTCACGATATAACCCAATAAAGGTAGTCGGGATATACCCTAATACCACC